TTTTTTTTTTCATCGAAAAAATGAGAAAAAACTTATTTGTGTCGCATTAAAGAAAATTTATTTATTTTTATTATTAATAATTATTAAAAATCATTATTATTATATATTATTATAAATTATTATTATTATATTAATTTATCCGTATCGGAAATTTAAAAAAAAAAAAAAACCGCGAAAATACGTCACGTATTGATTGCACATAAAAAATTTTTTGACAACGACAAATAATGGAATGGAATGGAAAAATCATTTATATTTATTATTATTATTATTATTGTTATTATTATTATTATTATAAATATTGACAAATAAATCAATTTTATATTAAAGTACGATTTAAAAGCAATATTTTTTTGATTTATTAAACGAAAATAAAAATAAAAATGGTAGATGTATATAATTTAATTTAATACGCGTTTTAAACAAAAAAAATAAAAAAAAACGATCGAATTTTTTATACTGCCTTTAAATTATTTTATTTATTTAATAATAAAAAACTTAAAATGATAATAATATTAATAATAATAATAATAATAATAATAATAATAATAATAATAATAATAATAATAATAATAATAAGTGACAAAAAGAAAATATTGGAATTGTTTTAATTGTAAACTTAAATCACAAAAAAAAAACAAGCAAACAAACGTTATTGGTTTCGTTTATTTTCCAAATTAAAACTATTAATTAAATAATAATAATAATAAAAGAAAATTCACTCTCTTCCCTTCCCTTCCCCCCCGCCGGAAAATAAATAAATAACTATTTTTGTTAATTGTTAAAATTTTATAGGTTGGAAAACCATTTTTATTAAAAAAAGGGAAAGGAAAGGAAAGGAAACGTTTTTTTTTTTTCTTGTTTTAAACCGGTCCCCCAATTTTTCTTTTTAGAGAACATGTTACGGGGGTAAGTAAAAAATTTTTTTATTGAAAAATTTAATTTATGACTTAAAAAAAAAAAAAAAAAGTTTTTGGTAAGTGAATTTAATTTTTCCTTTTTTTTTTTGAAACTTTTGAAAACTGAATAAAACAATAATAAATTAAATTTTCGAACGAAATAAACTATTTTAGTTAGCGCCTTGAGCAACCAAAATTAAATTCATAAAATTGAGATGTTGTTGCATTTTGTTGAAAAGTTTTTCTCCCCAAAAAAAAAAAAAAAAAAAATAATAATAATAATAATAAAATTGACCGAAATAAGTGGACGGTTGGATACGTTAAAGTGAAAAGAATGAAAATTGTTTAAAAAAAAAAAAACCCAATTATTTATTTAATTTAATTTTTTGTTTTTGTAATAAGAATCGTGAAATAATAATTTTTAATATTATTATTATTTAATATCCTCTCTCTCTCTCTCTCTCTCTGTTTTATACGTTTTTTTCAAAAAAAGTATTAAGTATTTATTTATATGGAGAGAGAGAGAGAATGAGTAAGAGAGAAACGATTTTGACACGAACGTTAATAATTTTTGTCAAATTATTAATTATTATTATTATTATTATTATTATTATTATTATTATTATTATTTTCTAGACTCGTAATTATCTGGTTCGAAGTGATTAAAATGTTAAATATTAAATAGTAAGTAATTTAATTATGTAAAGGATCGTTTTGAAAATTTACTTACTTTTTAATTACGAGGAAAAAAAAATTTTTCTTTTTTTTTTTTTTTTTTTTTTTTTTCATTTTTCCCTTTAATTAATTATCGTAACAAAACACAAAATATTTATTATTATTATTATTTTGTTTTTTTCTCCTCGCAAAAAAAAAATAATTAAAACAAAAAATAATTAAAAAATCTTCCCTCTCCTCCCCCCCAGAAAAAAAAAATCGTGAATATTTTTCAAAAAACTTTCGTCGTCGTCGTAATTAAAATTATTTTAATAATAATTTAATTTTTTTTTTTTGTCATTTGATTGATTGATTGATAACAACGTGATAAGATTTTTTGAATGATTTAAATTCGAATGATAATAATAATAAAAAATTTTGTTTTGTTTTGTGTGGGTAAAAAAATTTTTAATTATCATTATTACATTTAAAATGCATTTGTAAATGTCTTTTTTTTGTATTAACGAGACAAAATAGTAGTAGTGAGTTGCAGTGAGTTTGTAGTCTCATTACAAAAATTTATATTTACAAAAAAAAGATGAAAAGAAAAAAAAACAAAAAAAAAACATAAAAAAAAAATTTTTTTTATTATTATATGTCAATACAAGATTGTCACTGGCAACCATTTAAAATTTTCGTTAAATGACGTTAATGATTTTTATTTTTATTTTTTGTTCTCTTCTCTTCTCTTTTTTTTTTAACAAACTTGTCAAAAAAAAAAAAAATGTCAAAAACGATATTTTTTAAATTTTATTTTATTGAAAGATATAAAAATTTGTAATCACGATCATTATTATTATTATTATTCAAAAAAAGTATTTCAATCATAATAAAACGATTTTCAGCTTTTTGAAGTACATATAAAAAAAAAAAAACCGTTAAATTGAAATTCGGTTAGGGGGGAAATTTGTCGAATATATTTTAAATTGATTTAAATATTGCAATACGACGCCAAAAATTTTTTTTTTTTTTAATAAAAACTAAAATGATTTCATCTGTTAAATTTAAATTTATATAAAATTATTTAATTAAAAAAAAAATAAAATCAAAAAACTTTTTGCAATCTGCCAATTTTCCTTTATCTCTCTCTCTCTCTCTCTCTCTCTTTTTGACAATATTGATGAAGTTAAAACTGACACGTAACCGATTCATTTCCCTTTCCGATGTTTAGACATCTGGCGACAAATTTCTTTTGAATGGTCAACGAACAAATTTTTCCCTCCAAAAATAACAGATGTATATAATAATATTTTAAAATTGTTTTCGATAAAAATAATTTTATTCAAAATTTCTTTTTCTTTTTTTTTTTTTTTTCAATTTAAAATCTATGAATTAATTGAATTACTCTCTCTTTCTCTCACTCACTCCCCCCCCCACCATTTTATTTTTTTTAATTTACTTTATTAAAAAAGGAGGGAAAAAAGGAGGGGGAAAAAAAAAACTTTTGAAAATAAAAGTTGTGACGTAATTGAAAAAGTTTTACAATGCTCACCCATGAATTGCGCCAAAAAAAAAAAAAAAAAGTAGGCGTCAGTTTTATTTGAAAAAAATCTTTTCAACCGGTAAATTTTTCTATTAAATTGAGATTTGGTAAGTTAAAATGTTTTCGAAAGATTTTTTTTTGTCTCCCCTGATAAAATTCCGATTGTAAAAAATGATAATTAATTTCATAATTCAAAAACGCGCGAATCGTTTATGAATCATATTCTTTGTCAATAGTAAACAAGAGAGTGTCGGCCGCCATATTGAAATTTAATCATGGCTTCTGTCAAACAATCATTTAAAAGAGTAGTGTTTTGTTTATTGAATATCTAAGTGAATTAAAAGGTAATGTAATAGAATTTATGTAATTAGATTGATAAAATGATTGTTTATGATATAGAATAATTACTAAAGTTAAAATACACAGTAAATGTTTCATTTTTTTGTAAATATGTGATAATAATGAGTAAACATATGACACAATTTGAGTTTATAT